CCAGCAGTGACGATCCAGGGCAGCAGCGGGCAGTCCCCTGTCACTCGGGTAGTGATGAGGTTTAGGGGCTGGAGTATGTTTGGCTCCAGGAAGGCCAGTCACTGTCCACAGTTCGAACCAGACAATCACACGAGGGATCCCACTTCTGACACCAAACCGTTAAAGAAAAATTTGTATTTCCTTTATAATAATGAACAACCAACAGTGAGTGAGAAATAAAAAGATTTGAGAATGGATATGTCTTCAGGTTGATTTATTGGAGCTGTCATACTCTTTTTCACTGTGTGTCCTGATGTACCAACAGAGTAAACAAAGTGTCCACTTAGTTTGGGAGGGGCGGCAAACTCTGAGGCTTTGACAACAGAGTGTGTAGCACCGGAGTCAACTAAAAACATGATAGTTGCACCTCCTACTGTCAGAGTGGATTCAGGAAATTGTTTAAAGGCAGGTGTGGTATATTTAACGTATGTACCTTGTGGTAACAACCTTTGTTCAAGAAATAAGGTGGTGTGTGTGTGTGTGTGTGTGTGTGTGTGTGTGTGTGTTGTTAGTACCAGCAAGCTGTTCTTCATTGCGGTGTGCAGAGTATGTGTGTGAGGTACCTTCGGTTGCAGGCAGAGAGATACTAGCCCCAACAGAGTCACCTTCCCCAACCATAGAGCCTGGCCCGTCAGCATGGCACCTTCTCTCTCCGCCACCCCCAACCCGCTCTCAGTCAGATCCACCTGTGGCAGTCGGGTCTGTCCCCGGGCAGTCCTGAGCCCAGTGGCCCTGTTTCCGACAGAGGTAACAGATGTCGTTGGGAGCAGGGGTGCGTCCTCTACCCCATCTTCCTCCTCGGCAGTAGCCATGGCCACGGCCTCGGCCTCACCCACGGAAGCTGTTGTACATGGTTACAGCTGCCATGTGGAGTTCTTTCTGTGTCTTTTCATCCTTCGTCTTCTTCTTGAGCAGTATTTGGTCATATGCATGAGTGCACTGGCCTCTAACAGGAGTTAAAAGCAATAGTCCCAGACTATCTTTACTTTATAGCCCTCGGCTATGGGAGTCCTCGACTCACCCCAAACTCTCAATGAGCTAAAGGAACAATGTTTTACGAGTCCCAGACTCAACCAAAGCGGAGAGAAGGAGTTAAGAAAATAGGATGAGTTTGTACCAAAATAATGTTTTTGATTCAGAATGTTATGAGTTTGTTGTTTTGCCTGTTTTTTTTTTATTGTTTTTTGTTTTTTTTGCTGAATGGTAGATAAATTAAAATGAAACCAAATAAATCATATATCCCCTCTTTTTTTTTCTTTTTTTTTGCACCTGTGTGTGAATTCTTCTGCTGAAACCATGTTTGTTCATAGGGTGGATCAGACCCTAAAGACACATAGGAAGTGCAATGCAAATCCTCTGGTGCCATGAAGTCAGTGTTCATGTGTGAAACACGTGTGTGTGCCTCGTGGAGTAATGCAGATGAAGATGGAGAGGTCTGTAACTTCCACTCGTATGAATACAGCAGCGCAAAGGGGCTGTACTGCACAAAAGTAGAAGACAAACTCTGATCAGCCGAATCACAAACCTTTTTAACCTTAAAACAAACAAATGCCTAATGTGCACATCAAATCTCTATCCATTAAATTACTGGGGCAATGCTGTGAGAGCAAAAAGGAATGTTTGAAAACTGAGAGAGAGTCCTCACACCGAAGTGGAGCTGTCATACTCTTTTTCACTGTGTGTCCTGATGTACCAACAGAGTAAACAAAGTGTCCACTTAGTTTGGGAGGGGCGGCAAACTCTGAGGCTTTGACAACAGAGTGTGTAGCACCGGAGTCAACTAAAAACATGATAGTTGCACCTCCTACTGTCAGAGTGGATTCAGGAAATTGTTTAAAGGCAGGTGTGGTATATTTAACGTATGTACCTTGTGGTAACAACCTTTGTTCAAGAAATAAGGTGGTGTGTGTGTGTGTGTGTGTGTGTGTGTGTGTGTGTGTGACCCACCTTGATCCATGTAGCTTTTGCTGTCTAATATAACTATAATTCATCTCAACCCCACAGTCATATATCAATTAACTGGCTTCATGCTGTACTAACTGCTGTTTAATCCACGTGCGCTCACTGTCCGTCCCTTACAGAACGGCCTGACCCCGCTCCATGTCGCAGCTCATTATGACAACCAGAAGGTGGCGCTCCTGCTTTTGGACAGAGGAGCATCCCCCCATGTCATGGCCAAGGTGAGAGTCCACAGTGTCAGCTATTACTGACTGCTGATCATGTCTGGAGCGGACAAGTATAAAATGCTCCCTCGTAATAAGTCTTAACTGAAATGAAATATGGATTAGTAACATTTGTTGCAATAGGTTGTTCTCACTTGTAGTTTTTACCTGGTAACACGCATATGTGTTCTTTTGTACATTCTGTGACCAGCAAAACTTATACATCCAGTGCATACAGTATATGAAGATAATAAAAGATCATTTGAACATTGAAAACAAGGGAGCATGGAGTTCTCACCTGGTATCATGTGACCAAAGCACCATATGTACACTGTAAAACCTGATTAGTTAGCTCAACTCAAACCATTTGAGGAAACTGATTGCCTTGAACCATTTGAGTTAATTAACTCAAAAAATGTAAGCATAAAAAATGTTTCATTTGAGTACAAATAACTAATCTTCATTGTTAGGGAAACTTTAGTAAATTAAGTTAATAGACCTAATTTCTCCCAGTTCATTTAACTTAACTCTGTCAAGTCTTTTGGATTCATATAAAGCAAAGTTTTCAACTTATTAAACATGAGTAAATCAAATTTGTCTAAATTAAGTAAGACTAACTCATATGCATCTTCTTTATACAAATATTACCACTTACATTTCATTAACTCATTTTACTTTCATTAAGGAAAATTATTAGACTCAAGTTGTAATAACTTTAACATGTTGTCAGCATACCTCCCCCACACATTTATTGATAAACATAATATCTTATCTGATTGTCAATATGGTTTTAGGTCACAAAGATCGACATCCTTGGCCATTACTGACCTGATGGAGGACATTACAAGTGCTATGGATGAGAAAAAATATACGATGGGGATTTTTATTGACCTAAAAAAAGCTTTTGATACAGTTAATCATGAACTATTAATGGATAAGTTGGAGAAATATGGGATCAGAGGATTGGTTGGGAAATGGATCAGAAGTTATTTGACACAGAGGCGTCAATTTGTGAGGTTGGGTGAATATCAATCAAGTGAGCTGAACATTGTGTGTGGAGTGCCTCAGGGTTCTGTGTTGGGACCTAAACTATTTATATTATACATCAATGATATATGTAAGGTTTCTGAAACTGTTAAAATGGTTTTGTTTGCTGATGATACTACCATTTGGGCATCAGATGAAAACTTACAGCAACTCTCTGTAAGGGTTTCAGAGGAATTTGGGAAGATAAAGAAATGGTGTGATAATAATTTACTATCTGTGAATTTGGAGAAAACTAAATATATGGTATTTGGGAACCGTAGACCACATAATGAACTTCAATTGAGAATTGGGGGTGCCAACATTGAACGAGTATATGAAATTAAATTTCTGGGGGTAATGGTTGATGACAGATTATCCTGGAAATCTCATATTAGACATGTTCAGCATAAAATAGCTAAAAATATATCGATATTGGCAAGGGTTAGACATATGCTGGACGTTAAAGCATTGCGGATTTTGTATTGTTCATTGATTTTGCCATATTTGGAGTATGGTGTTGAAAACTGGGGAAATACATACAGGAGTTCACTTCAACCATTGTACATATTACAGAAGAGAGCGATAAGAGTTGTGCACAAGATGGGGTATAGGGATCATACAAATGTAGTTTTCATACAGTCTAAATTGTTAAAATTCTTTGATTTAGTGGGATATAAGACTGCTGTGTTTATGTATAAGGCCAGGAACAATTTATTGCCTGGTGGAATCCAAAAGCTATTTGGTGAAAGGGAAGGGGGGTATAACTTAAGGGGACATTTAAATTTAAAAGTTCATGCTATACGAACAACCAAAAAAAGATTTTGTATTTCTATAAGTGGGGTCAAACTATGGAATAACTTAACTGTGGACATGAAAAATAGTACCAGAATTAAGGAGTTTAAATATAAATATAAATGTATGTGTTATACAAGATATATGCACGAATAAGTAACAATCTGCTTTATCTATGTAGTGATATTGCTTGCAGCCAATGTTGCATAAATTTTGTATAATATGATGTCATGGGGTAGGACTGGATAAGTCTGACTTCTTCCTACTCCATTCAAACATGTATTAGGTGTAAGCAAATTGATTTTGAATTAGTATTGGTTGGATATGTGTAATCATGTGTGTTATTGTCATTTGATCATTGTTCTGTTCTGTTCTGTCTGCATGTTTGAAAGAATAAATCAATCAATCAATCAATCAATCAGCTGCCTGAGATCTGAAATCTTAAAAGCCATGTACTGAATGATATCATCTGTGAAACTATGGGACATAGCAAGCTCAACTATGTCTTTTAAGTCCATTAGCACCTCCCAAAATCCGTCCTCCTCTGGGACTCTGGAGCCAATAAGAAGAGTTAGCAATCTAAGCAAAGTGTGGTTCTCATGCCCATTCCCACCAATTGTTCCCCAACTGGCAAAATTGAGTGGGATTGGGTGAGGACGGTCAACCTTATCAGAATGTTGGAAGGGAAAAGACAGTATTGCCCTATTTAGCTCTTCCAAAGTGATATATTTCTTTGCAATCTAACCTTTCAAACTATGGGCCAACTCCACAGGAACCACACCTTCAAACAGGTTATGTAATATGTCTGATGGAAATCCTGTGATGGGATGGAAATAAGTGAGATGGTCAGAGAGAACACAACTGTTTTTTACACCATAATTTGCATCACTATCATTGTTTTGTATTTCTTGAAGGAGAGTATCATGCAGACCTTTCGTTCTCATCTCAAAACTACCAGTGACGGCATCTGATGTTTGTATGTCTGGGTGGCAAGACAAAATCTGCAAATATATGTAGACCTGAAACTCTCACTGAAACCAGCTAACCCATGAGCAGCGAGATTATCAGCCACAACAGAGTAGATTGTCCCTTTGAGACAGTCACCTAATGTTTCGATGTAGATACCCTTTTCTTCAAGGGTTTTAAGGTCACTCAAGAGAGGTGCAAGACATTTTGCATATGTAGCCCAAGTGTGAAATGCTTGAAAAAGTTCAGTGTTGGTTTTGGGAAAAAGGATTTTGGCTTGTGTTGAAACAGGGTTGCAGTGCATTGTATGTTATGAAAGGGTTAATATCTTGGCACCACTGGTTGACTGTGAGGGGACCAATCAGTAACCCGAATGGAATATTTGGCGCGCACTAGTTCCGCATTCCAATGTCCATGTTTTCCAGTTTTCTTTGCCTCTGCACGGGTACTCTGCCTGCATGCTGCTCAGAGAAATAGCAAAGACCCTTTTTGTGTCAATTGCGTGGAAAGAGTAAGACATTATGTTTTAAAATACAGTCAGCTTATTCTGTTAGTGTCGAGAGGTAATTGACTCGTATGTTGTTATGTTTAAGCATTGTAGAACGGGGCGCATAACTAAAGCACCCGCCGACCAGCTGACGTAAAAGAGAAAAGAAGTGTGATAACTACTCAACGGTGAGCTATATTGTCCGAGTTATTTGGTTTATTATGTCAAATGTTTAGAGATGGTTGCACCTGTATTAAGCTGAAGTTATTTTATCTTTGTGACCTAGTTGCTGTGAACTGTGGATGGGGAGAATGGTGGGTCAAGTTGTATGTTGTGTTGCTAAGCTATAATTTCTTGTGCGGCCCGGTACCAATTGATCCACGGACCGGTACCGGTCCGCGGCCCGGGGGTTGGGGACCACTGCCCTAAGTTATCATGCTGTGAGTTAGTTCTGCCAGTTTAAGGGTGCACCATGTAATTTTATTTTCTAATACCAAGATGTTTATTAAGGAGCTGTGCTTGCTGTTTGAATGCATTGGTTGATTATATTTGCATTTTACAGTTATATTAATTAATGTATGGGAAATGTATGAAATTAGACACGATTTATTCTGGTAAAGGGTACGAAATTGATTTCAATCATTTTGATTGGTCTGATCTGTTGTAGGTCAGGTTTTTTTTTTTTTGGTAGAAGAAAAGAAACAAACGAAACCCCTCTCATCGGTCTGGAGTTCTTCCTGGAGGAAATTGGATCGGAGATGCTCAGTGGATGCTGGGTGGCGAGCCAGGTGAA